TTAAATACCTAATTATAATAATAATGGACCAAGAACTAATCCTTGAGGGACTTCGGATAATGTAAAACCATTAAGAAACAGGTATTGCTTTCTTTTTTGAAAATAGGATTGTAGTAACAGATTAAGAAGAAAATTAGACATTTTTTTTTATAAATTGATTACCCGTTTCTAGTTTTAAACTGAAATTAAAAACACGTATCAAAAAATTCCGATTTAATTCGAAATATCACGTAGGTTACGTAGGTAAATACCACTTGAAACATTGCGGTAGTTGAGCTGTTTTTTGAATAGACATAAATATTTCAATAAGTTGCATAAATATGATAATTTTTATATCAGATACCTAGCTAAGTCCTGATTGATAAATACAGATTTCTATTAACATCTAAACTTGATTGAATTTTCATTGAATCCTAAAACCGATTTTGACAAATGCATTTTGATAGTCCATGCACGGCTATTATTTTATCAATGGCAATAGTTATTTAGTCGCGGTTAGATTGGTTGTAGCTAATTCTTTTTGTTACGCCACTGAGCTTGCGAAGGTCCGAGAAATGGATGAAATTCATTTGGTGCATTCTTGGAAAAATTACATGATTGACGACCTGCTGAGAAATTACGTGTCAAAAGGACGGTGAATTTGAATGACCCATGATCTATTTAATATACCTAAGCCTATACGTCATCATTTTGTAAACTACTTAAAAGTTGAAAGTATATTCAAAATGTATAAAAAATAATTATTGACAAAATTAAATTAGTACAGGGGTAGTATTCTCGAGTCACGAATATAGATTCGCATGCGAGATTTATGATTTGTCTCACTTGGTTTTCGTTCAACAAAGTGAGACACATTGTAAAACACGTATGCGAATGTCGGTATTTGTGATTCGAGAATACTACCCCAGGTGTTACCTGTGTTGTTTTGTACCTAACCGACTTTGGGTCCAATGGGATTTGGTGGTAACCTGACGCTAGATCAATATTTGTAAAATATTCATATTCCCCTAGGTTGTCAATAATTTCCTCTATCAGAGGCATTGGAAAGCTGTTTTTGACAGTTATTTTATTCAGGGCTTGGTTATCGACTACCATTCTTTTTTGGCCATCTTTTTTATTCACCAATAACGCAGGAGTGGAGTAAGGAGACTTACTGTCCTGAATTATCTTAGAATCTAATAATTCATTTACAGTTGTTCTTAAAATTTGCTTATCTTTTTCCGAAAAACGGTAAGGTCTGTGGGTAACTGGTCTATTGATAATATTGATAAGTCGTTAGTTACTAGATCAGCGCCTAAACTAACTGATTCGCATATATTTCCTAGTAATTTTGAAAAAATGAAGGTAAAATATGCAAGTCAGGTATTTAGTCTTACAGTTTCAGCGGCTTTAAATGTGTACGTCGATTTAGGTAACTTGTCTAATGAAGCCCAGGCAACTGCTGATTTTATTGATAAAATCGAAAAATTATTTGATATTTTAAAATCATCAAAAACATCAGACGGGAAGAAATATAGTTTGGCGTTTAAGGGTCTCGACTTTCAACTGACATTTTTAAATGAGATGTTATTGCTGTTGGACAACTTAAAAGTTTTTTTTTAATAACCTAGGCGAGGATGTAACTAAAAAAATGAAGTTTATAACAGGTTTTAAAATAACAATTAGCTCCATTCTTCATTTGTGGGATTTTCTTAAAACAAAAAACTTTAAGTTTCTTTTTACTATAGACGTTTAAACCAAGATCCGTTAGAAAAGTTGTTTGGTCTTATAAGACAGCAAAATAGTAATTGTGCTAATCCAATAGCCATTCAATTTCAAAGAAACTTTAGAAAGTTGTTCTGTGTAAAGCTACTCAATTCAGGAACTCAAAATTGCGAGAATGACATGGTGGGTAAATTCTACAATTTCACCAGTAAAAACATCAACAAATTTATATTTTACATCTACTAAATAAATAAACAATTCTCAAATAGTTCGACTGCTTTTTACCCTAATATAATGTGAAGTCATAAAACTATAAATAGCATTTTTCTCAGAATACCGAACGTCGAACACCTGTGTTTTCAAGTGCACAGCGGTGCATTGGAACAAAATGAGTCATTATGTCATGATGTTTTCATTGGTTGAAACCGAATAGGTGCGTGAACTATGTCCCGGACACTCATTTCGTCCCAACAGTATATATTAGGGTGAGCTCGACGCGAGCAGTTCAGTTGTATGTTTGCCATCATTCAGTAGTTGTCTTATTGCCACCAACGATTCAGTTGTCTTTTTGCCATCATCGCGTGCTTTCTGCCGACGGCACGTTACTTTCTACATTTTTACAAGCGTTTAATGCAGTTTATTTTCTGGTGCAAGTTATATCTTCTACAATTATTATGGCATAAGAAATTCTACAAACAAATGTTTTCAAGTTGGTAACTAAAAATTCAACTTTATTATTTAATCAAATTGTGATGAACTAAAATTGTAAATATTTAAAAGTGTTTAGTGAAGATAAGAAAATTATTATATCTAAATGGAATCAACCACTATGTATTTACTTCAGTGAAAAAAGTAATTAAAAATACTTCTTTTTCTACAACCTATGACTCGTTAGTTATTTCTACAAAAGAACCCAATTCTTCTAACACCAGCGACATATGCTACAGAACATTTTTACCAAAGAAATATTCGGAAGTAACACCGGTATTTTTTCACATGGATAATATGCTTCTGCGAGTATCTGATGTCATTAAAGAGGATACAAATTCATTCGTAGCTCATACACATCCCCATTCATTAAATTTGCCAGAAATTGATAGCAGTTATCAAAAAGAGTCCACGTTAGAAACTAATTTCGAAAGGTATTTTGCGAGATACCTAATGAAAAAATGCCTATGTACAATTTGAGAGGAATATTCAAAAGCCTATCAAAATTTGGATGATACATCTTCATTTTGTTACTATAAAGCTTATAACAGCTCCAATTTAGATTTATTTGGTAACTTAAACATGGCACACAATGATTTTGTAAAATTTATCTCCTTTTTAGAGGTATTTTAAATAAATTTTGAAACTATTATACACAAAAATGTAATAGATACGTTTTAAAGTATTTGTAGAAATACAAGTTTTTCTCATCCATGTGAAAAATTTCCACATAATTATTTAATAAAATTATTCGGTAGATTAAGATTATTTAATACCCTTAAATGTATTAACCGAAATTTTAAAACTATAAAAGATAAAAAGGTTGTCATTTGGAAAGATAAGTAAATATTTTTTTATATATATAAATCTTTTACTTGCCTACATTTGTAATGTATGAACTTAAAAAATAAATCAATAGCTACCCAATATTTTTTTAAATTCCTGACCTTTTTTTCGGTGCGCCAATGGAATACAAGTAATAACTAAAAGACGAGGTCATAGCTCGTCGGCATCAACTACAAAGGAATTAAAGTCAAATTTAAAAAATATAAACTTCTAACTTGTCATTCCCATTTTATCACGTGACCAATAAAGTCTAAAGCGTTTGTTTATTACATCTAAATTTAGATCTAATCCTGTATCACGTGATAAAAAATTCACAACATCTCAGATACATCCGATGTGGATATTCAAACGCAGCAATAGTATCTGTAAAGTGGGGAGGGTATAGTGCTCCACAGCACTTAGACCTCATTAGGGCCATTGTACATTCTCCAGGGGCATATAGGATCTGCCTATCAACTTCTCAAAAACCTGCGGGTTGTCGCTAAGAGATGTCTAGAGATAGCCATCTTCCCAGTTCATCAAAGTCCTGTAGATTATCAACTTGTCCTTCTCAAAAACTTACTGGTTGTCGCTGAGGGGTGTCAAAAGAGAGCAAGCCTCCCACCTCATCAAAGTCCTGCAGGACATCAACTCAACAAAAACCTGCTGGTTATCGCTGGGGGATGTCTAGGAATAGCAACATTGAATTTAATTAGAGAGATAACAGGGTAATTGAATTTATAAATATCAATTATAATATACAAAAATATACTTAGACCTACTGTTGTCTAAAGACAGATTTTTATATTCGTCTTGAAGTTGTCTAGACCTAATCAAGTTTTAAAGAACTCTGATATGATACTTTTTGCAATAAAAATATCTAATACAGAGTTTTAATTTTGTATTGTATTGATATGGGAAAAATTTTAAGTTTGTCTTATTATAAATTACATTTGAAGCTTTTAACTACATTTTGTATATGACACAGATATTAGTAATTATAGACAAATTTCTCTAATATCTCAAATGTCAAACGTATTTGAAAAAGTAATCAAAAAACGTCTTATATCCTATTTAAATATGTTATTCTATCTGAGAGTCAGTATGGCTTTAAAGAAAATTATTATTTATGTCCTTTACCATGATCTCGGACCATTGGAGCTGGTCCTCTGGTAACCCACACGTAGAGGCTTTTTGGTAAGGATTACAAGTGGCGGATAAAATCCTCAACTGCATTATGTGATATACCTACTCGGATATTATAATTGTTTTTATATTACTAATAAGTAATAATTACTATTATTTGTCTGTAATAAGCATTACAATAACAGAATATAACCACTGGCCTATCGTGCAATTAGTTACATTTAGGATGATATAAATCGGAACGGAAAAGTAATTCAGGTGAGTCGTAATAAAAAGAAATGTTCTCCTTGAAAAGATCTTTCAATTGGTATGCAACTTATCCCTTATCTTCATTGGGGGTGGGGCAACTTCCCATACATTTATAATTATTGTCCTTTATAGGACTTTAGACCATCGCATTGTGGACAATTGTATGTATGTATGTCTGTTAGTAGTAATAAGGTTTATTACAGCAGTATTTAGACTTTAAAAAGATCTCTAATATCCAGGGGTATTAGAAAAGCTGCGTCCCTTTTTAAAATGGACATTGATAATGAATGCATACATTGTTAGTAAAAAAACTAGTGTTTATTATACTTTATTTTTTAAGTACAATACAAAAAAAATTCGTAAGCAGTTTATTTACTAGCACCACTAAAATGGTAAACGACACTTCCGGCCAGATAAAAATTGATGACGAGTCCCACTTCGTAAACAGGAATCCTCCAGATCGATTTCAACACCGTGTACACAAAAGTGTAGACAATCCTGGATATGACGTACGTTCTAATTATCCATTGCGTAGGCTCCAATGAGGGATTGGTCAAAATATATAGAAAACTAATCACGATAAAGAAGGGTATGTTTTCTAGATCATTCTGATGGGCTCTGTAATATAATATAAAATCATTATTGATATTAAAGTATTAGATTTGTTTGTTTTGCGGCAGTTTCATATAGTCAGTAAACTAGCATTTAATTTGTGACCGAAAGTTTTATAAGGTTTGAAAATAGGTATTACCTATAGGTATATAAAAAATAGGAACTGTAAAAAACCTATTTTTATTGTACGAAAACCGGTATTCACACTGCGCAAACGCCTGGCTACCAGATACTGTTGCAAAAACAAATGAATCAAAAATAAATAAAAAGAAACTCAATTTTTTATATTAGCGACCGTTTCTTTATATTAGCGACCGTTTCCCTCCAAAACACCTAATACTGCAACAAACTTTGAATTATACCTAAATAAAAACAGCAGAGTTCGAAAATTAGGCAACCTTATTAGGACTCGTCAGTAAGAAATAGACATTCTCGATTCCAATCTCTGGTGGAACTTGCAGATGCATTAAATTCACTTGTATACATGAATGGTGGTTGGGTGATCCAATTTAGAAGCTGCAGACGTTAAAAAAATGTCGCCAAAGTAGCCAAGGGGTTTATTAAAATATGTGGTTACTACATTGATTCCATAAGGTCACAAGAGAAGTCAAGTTTAAGAAACCTAATTTAATATAACTTACCTTCTATTTCTTTCTACCAGTTCATTGGTATATACCTTTGCTTTGAATGGGGCACCATCTTCAGGATTCCTAGGAACCTAAAAAAAAAGTATTTTAATAATTTAGAAAACTCTAAGTGTGAATAAAGATCACATTTTGTTTTACATGATTTTAGACAATGTTTACGTTTTATAATATTAAAAAATAATAACGGAAACTCTATCAATAGAGTACAAAATTAGTAACAACTAGTTTCGGGCATCTGGGCCTTTAATACAATAAAATAATAACAACTAAAAATATGTTATAATATAAACAAAGTTTAATCAGGGCCGCCGAGAGCCATGGTGGGGCCCCGGGGCTAAACACTGGCAAGGGCCTCTTATATATAACTAGGGTTGACAGATTTGCGGGGCATTTTTATAACAAATCAAGTCCTTTCTGTGTGTTTGTAAAAAAAGAGTCCTCAGATTGTATTTTTCGTAAACCAGGTCCCCCTTTTTGTGACGAACTTCTAAATGAAAAACGTCCTCAGCTAAAGCTACCGGGCCCCTCTTGTGCCGGGGTCCCGGGAATTTTGCCCCCCCGCCTATTCCCCCCTCTCGCCGGGCCTGAGTTTAACGAAATGACCGACTTTATTTAATAAAGATAAACGATTTGATATTCCGCAAGGATTTAATAATTGAAAACGTCATAAATGGTGGGACAGGCAGTGGATATTACATAGAAATAAATTGAGGTGCTAGTGAAAATATATTGAAAGAACTGGCTTTGGAAGATCTTGAATCATATAGAAATCATTTAAGAATGAACAAAAAAAAATTATAGCTGCCAAAACTGTACAAATCACTGAACATATTATGTCTCACACTTCAGTCTGTACTCACTATTCCATAATGATCCGATTCACCAAAATGAAGAAAAAGTAGAACTAGTTTGCACTTTAACTGAATTTGCGAATATACTGATTATTTTTAGTAAAAATGTGTTCTCATTAACGACAAAACACTACTAAACTAATCCATTCATTCATAATTAAGCCCTTATGTATTGCAACCATTTAGATTGTGTTGAGGATGGTTTGTACTTATGACTACGACGCTTGCTTTAACACTGCCGTCACACTTCAAAATAAATTACGTACTTTCCTGGAAATCACCTTCAACCAATGAAGTGGAGAGGGGTAGAATGATAACTGTCAATGAAAAAGTCTGGACACTATGCACAATTTCGTTTTGCACATTTTGTAAACAAAATTCAGGGACGGTTTAACAACATTTTGTGCAACAATTATAAAATAGTGCATCGAAAAATAATTAACAAGTATAATTTAATACTAAATCGTGTGTGTGTGTGTGTGTGTGTGTGTGTGTGTGTGTGTGTGTGTGTGTGTGTGTGTGTGTGTGTGTGTGTGTGTGTGTGTGTGTGTGTGTGTGTGTGTGTGTGTGTGTGTGTGTGTGTGTGTGTGTGTGTGTGTGTGTGTGTGTGTGTGTGTGTGTGTGTGTGTGTGTGTGTGTGTGTGTGTGTGTGTGTGTGTGTGTGTGTGTGTGTGTGTGTGTGTGTGTGTGTGTGTGTGTGTGTGTGTGTGTGTGTGTGTGTGTGTGTGTGTGTGTGTGTGTGTGTGTGTGTGTGTGTGTGTGTGTGTGTGTGTGTGTGTGTGTGTGTGTGTGTGTGTGTGTGTGTGTGTGTGTGTGTGTGTGTGTGTGTGTGTGTGTGTGTGTGTGTGTGTGTGTGTGTGTGTGTGTGTGTGTGTGTGTGTGTGTGTGTGTGTGTGTGTGTGTGTGTGTGTGTGTGTGTGTGTGTGTGTGTGTGTGTGTGTGTGTGTGTGTGTGTGTGTGTGTGTGTGTGTGTGTGTGTGTGTGTGTGTGTGTGTGTGTGTGTGTGTGTGTGTGTGTGTGTGTGTGTGTGTGTGTGTGTGTGTGTGTGTGTGTGTGTGTGTGTGTGTGTGTGTGTGTGTGTGTGTGTGTGTGTGTGTGTGTGTGTGTGTGTGTGTGTGTGTGTGTGTGTGTGTGTGTGTGTGTGTGTGTGTGTGTGTGTGTGTGTGTGTGTGTGTGTGTGTGTGTGTGTGTGTGTGTGTGTGTGTGTGTGTGTGTGTGTGTGTGTGTGTGTGTGTGTGTGTGTGTGTGTGTGTGTGTGTGTGTGTGTGTGTGTGTGTGTGTGTGTGTGTGTGTGTGTGTGTGTGTGTGTGTGTGTGTGTGTGTGTGTGTGTGTGTGTGTGTGTGGGTGCGAGCGCGCGCGCGGGCGGGCGGGCGGGCGTGCGTGCGTGCGTGCGTGCGTGCGTGCGTGCGTGCATGCGTGCGTGCGTGTGTGTGTGTGTGTGTGTGTGTGTGTGTGTGTGTGTGTGTGTGTGTGTGTGTGTGTGTGTGTGTGTGTGTGTGAGTGTGTGTGTGTGTGTGTGTCGCATAACTCATGAACCGATACACAGAAAAACACCAAATTTAAAACTTGAGCTTTGTTTCAGCGTCCAATGAGCTGATTAGATTTTGGGCAGAGTCGGAACATCTGGGGGGGTACTTTATAGGTGGTCATTTTTATATTTTATGGAATATATCTGTTATTTACGTTTGGAGAAGAAAATTCTTTAAATAAAAGTTACTTCCAATATAATTATCTATAATTTTTGTTTTATGCAAAATTTTCCTAAAATGGTCCGTATTCGAGAAATTTGACAAAATGTAAAAAAAATAATTTTTTATAAAAATTGTTCAAATAAAAGTATTTTGTAATATAATTCTCTATAATTTTTATCCTATAAATAATTTCTCTAAAATAGACCGTATTTGAGATATTTGAGAAAATGTGTAAATATCGAATTTTGAAGAAAACTCAAAAACGGATAAAGGAAAAAACATTAAATTTTAAACTTAAGTTTTATTTCGACCTGAGGTGAACTGATTAGATTTTGGACAGAGTCGGAACATTTGGGGGGGTACTTTATTGGTGGTCATTTTTTATATTTTATGGAATATATTCGTTATTTACGTTTGGGGAAGAAAATTCTTCAAATAAAAGTTACTTACAATATTATTATCTATAATTTTTGTTCAATGTCAAATTTTCCTGAAATGGTCCGTATTCGAGAAATTTGACAAAATGTGCAAAATTCTGATTTTTAAGAAAATTGTTAAACTAAAAGTTGTTTGCGATATCGATCTCTATAATTTTTGTTTTTAAATGACTTTTCTAAAATGGACCGTAATGGAAAAATTGGAGGAAAAGTGCTAAATTTAAATTTTTCAGTATTTTCGTTTTCAATGAATATCTATAGAAAAATGTTTCGAGGTAGATGTATGTGGAAAATGTATATATTTAGTTTATCCTCTAAACATTTTTAGAGATGCTGCAATAGGTTAACTAGATAGGAAAGTCATGTGTTGGACACATCAGATTTTTTTATTTATTTGTGAGAAAATCGATTATAAAGTTCCGAAAACTGAAATTTGCATTTCTCACTTAGAGGAGACGGATGCTGCAAATTTGTATGCTGTTGCAGATGAATTGGTAAAAGTTTAAAAAGACGATTTAAGGAGCTGTTCTATTATCAAATTCTTGAAAATTAAAATTTCAGAGCTATATTCTCAAACATAGAAATCACACTGCAAATGTACTTGGTTTTGATGGTGTCAAATTGCATTGGAGAGCGCTCATTTTCAAAAATGAAAATTATAAAAAATAGGATAAGAACTACGAAGGGACAAAACCGCCTATCAAAGTTATCTCTACTTAGCATTATTGAAAGTGATTTACCGCGGGAGCTGGATTTTAACGAAATCATCAATGATTTTTCGTTGAAAAAAGCTCGCAAGGTACCATTCGCACGAAAGATTTTAATTTAAAGGTTTTTTTTACTTATTGTGATTTGATTTGTGATTGCCTGTTCTATCTTTTTGTGCCATCATATGACTAAATAAATAAATGATTGAAATACTTGCAAGAAAAATATTATTTAACCCAAATCCGGCCCTGATTACTCCTACGAAATAGACTATGTAAGCAATGGAAGAGGGCTGAGCGTAGAACAGGAGTGTGTGGGTTCGAATCTCCCCACCGGAAATTTTTTTTCAATTTTTCATTAAATTGTTTTCATCGTGGAGGTTCAAGAATAATTTTTTTCATTTCTTATGGGCAATATTGGGATTTGTTTGGGGATTTCCTGTGAATTTATTCATTTACTTATTTGTTTAAAGAAAGAATTATTTTTGTTTTATTTATTTTTTTAAATACAAAGAATTGTGTATATTTTTAGAAATATTTTGTGTTTTAATATTTCGTAATAACGTGCTCGCATCTAAATATCTAGGTAACGGGTTCTTTATCTATGGTAACGGGCTTATAACGTAAACTACTATTACCGGACTAGCCCGTTATGACTTCCTTAACAACCATAAACAGATGTTGGTTACCACGGTATAACATTGCAGTATATCATAAATAACGTTTTTAGGTGAATTTTGCCAACTTACTGGTAGACAAAATGATGCTTTCAGACACAAATTTATCGTTTGGTAATTAACAGTAATTATGTAATTGCTAACGATACGCATATAATGTAAATATGGAAATCACGGTGTAACTACCTATAGGATAATAGGACAGGTCAAGGTATCAAGGTAATATAAAAAAAGTTTCCATAATGATTGTTTCCTGATGAAAATACTTTTCTAATGATTAGCTTGTAATTTTTTTTTTCGTCCATCCGTTGATGAAAATAATTTATAATAACATTCCAAATTAAAATTTAAAAGTTGATACCACGTAAAAATTATGTACCTAATTGATATTTAGAGGCGAAGAAAGCATTACTTAGTCCTTTCAATCTCACAAAATAGGTATGTATACTCTTACAAAACAATATAAAAAGGGGATGGCTGGCTCAGCGGTTAGAGTCAGGACTTTCGAGTCCAGGTTTAAATTCTACTAGGGTCGTGATTTAATTTAATGAATTAAAAATTTATTTTAATGTATGGGTAGGATTTCCCACTCGATCATTCACTGATTCTCAATATTGATATTCTGAAAATGGTGCGGGGAAACAGTAACAAAGCCTTCACATAACCGATATAGGCGCTGACTACAACGGGGCGGATCCCCCCGGGAGAAAAGTGAAAAAATACGTTTAATATAAATCGGTATTTTCCCATATTTTCTTGCAAATTAGAAGAACACCACTAACACATCATTGGACTTCAGAGAAAGGAGATGACGTTACAATATTTTCAACCTCCATTTTTTAACATAAATCATCTTTTTCTTCGGCAATTTGTTGGTTTTCAGCAAAATTTGGAGAATGTTGGTATATGGCAATGTTTTAATATTTTTCTCACCAATTATGCAACTACATTTGATTATGGGTACTTTTGCTTAGTCAGTTCGTGCAAAGTAAAAAGCTGTTATATAGGGTGTCTCAGTTGCCAAACGGTGATCGACAGTGTTAAGTTTTGGTTGCAATGGGGCTACAATGTTCGTCGTTTGTACAGAAATCTTTATAACATTTACAACATAGCAAGAATGAAACATATTCCAAGTGCAAATTTAATTTCCAGTACTCTCAAACTGTCTTAACCAATATTTATTTAAATTTGCACTTGGGACATCTTTCATTCATGCTACTCGTATGTTATAATTATTGATTCTGTACAAAGGACGCACGAGAACATAATAATCATGTTTCTATAAAACGCATGAATACAAAAAGCACGTTGTTGCCCCCGTAAATCGCTCCATTAAAACTAAAATTTAACACTCTCGATCATCGTTTGCACACTGCCTCATTTCTTGGGAATGTGCCTATTACGCCATTGGACGGATTAATAAATGAACCTATTTCTGAGACACCCTATATATTTTTAACAGATTACAAATTAGAACACTAAAATGAAATTTTGAAATTTTTAATCGGAATGTTAAAAAACAATTCATATTACGTATTTATTTCGATAAATATATATATATATATATATATATATATATATATATATATATATATATACAAGATAAAAGGATTATTGGGCAGATACCGCAAAAAAATGAAAAAAAGCCTAAAGGCAAACCGTAATATATACATATATAAATTTATTGTTGAATATGAGAAAGAATTTTAATTAATTTGTTTTCCAATATATTTTTAAATTTTGATTTTTTTTACCTATTTCCCATTCTAATGTATTTGAATTATCCTATTGTTTAGTTATATTCAAATTTTTATATTATGTAAGTATAATAATAATAATAATAATAATAATAATAATAATAATAATAATAATATTAATAATAATAATAATAATAATAATAATAATAATAATAATAATAATAATAATAATAATAATAATAATAATAATAATAATAATAATAATAATAATAATAATAATAATAATAATAATAATAATAATAATAATAATAATAATAATAATAATAATAATAATAATAATAATAATAATAATAATAATAATAATAATTTATTATTAATTTTTTTTGTATTACAGGCCTGAGGATGTCTTATAGGCCGAAACTAGTCGCGACAACTACTTATCGAAGTAATTATTATTATTTGAGGCATTTATTTAGTGTTTTTCTTACTTTATAATAACTAACCATGGATAATCTTCCATTCAATCATTTTTAAAATACCTGTATGCTGTATGCTAAAAATACGAAGATTTATTTACTCACCCCGTAATAAATTCGACTTAGTCCAACTTGAGCTATCATGACAATACATTTAAAAACCAAAACGCCCACATAAAAACAGTAAAATTCCAACAGTTCGCGATTTATAGGCAAAAATATATGTTCTGTCATATTTCTCTTAGCTAAAAAAAATAAGTTTTACCGAATGAATCAAAGATATTACTGAAAAAGACTGACATGGAAATTCACTTTCTAGTCGTAGGAAACAAATTTACCAGACATAGTTTACTAATGGCCCTAAAATGCCGAATATCAATTTGTAAGGTACATTACATACCGATTAGGTATTATTAACATATTATGGTCAAGGGCGTTGTATACAAACAAATCATAACAACTTGTTAATTAATAAATTACTTGCGTATTGAAACTATTGAAATGTAAATTTGTTCTCATGGCATGATACAAAAGCACTGAATATTCAATTTAGGAAATATCAGTTTTAAAAATAGCTGCAAGAAGAAAATTGTGCATACTACGGTATTCATATTGTGTGTACCTCAATATTAAAAAAAAACCTAATCGAACATCTCATAATTAGGCAGAGTAGGTATTATTACGCACCTAGCGGGGAAGTAACTCTGAGTTATGTATACGATTTTCTTCTAATGTTGACATAAATGACATTTTTTTGTATTCCCAGCAAGTGTCAAAATGTTTTTGGTTTTAAAATCAACATATACAATATTATTGAAAGTTTATATCAAAGGACGATTGACTTATAAAAATGGAATTTGGTTAAACTTACAACCTAGTAGGTAATAGTGTTGCTTTGGTCCTTACTTTCCATTCAGCACAAAATAATTAAAACACAATACACCACAAAATAACCTACATTCTTGAAAACTAAATAACTTTAACAAGAAATATAAACACACTACAAGTCGTTGAGAATAAATTAATATGATTTTGTGAGAAATTACCAAAGAACTTTTTATTGAATTGATAGATATATTATTGTGACATAAAAAAGACTGACAAATATAACGTTATTTATAAATATATAGAGTGCTTTTTAATTATCTAACATAATTTTATTATTGCTAAAGATGAAAAAATTGTCAACAAAGATAGCCACCACAAGTAAGTCTTCAGACTCTCGTTTGAAATAGAAGCAATGTCCGGATTGTACTTGACATAAACCAATTTTATTCATTGCTGTACATACTTTTTTGTTCCACTGTCTTGGTGCTTGTTTAAGGCCGTACAAAGCCTTTTTTAACAAACATACTTTATTTTCATCTATATTTTGAACAAATCCATCAGGTTGCTCCATATAGATTTTTTTCATCGAATCTCCATTTAAAAAGGCTATTTCTACATCTAAGTGTTCTACTACTAAATTTAATTTAATTGCAAAAGCAATTAGTAACCTTATAGAAGAAAGTCTAATGACAGGAGAAAAAGTTTCTTCATAGTCTATACCATAAACCTGAGTAAATCCTTTTGCCACTAGTCGGGCTTTAAATTTCATTATTTCGCCATATTATGTGCTTTTCTTAATTCTATAAACCCACTTACTTTTTATGATTTTCCTATCTCTAGGTTTATCTAGAGAATTATATTCAGCTTCCCTGGCTTCAATCCATTCATTGTTGTTTTGATCGTTTATTGCTTCATTGAAGTAGGAGTATTATCATCACTAGCCACCGTATACAAAATTATATCATCTGGCCACTATTTAACAACAGACTCCGAAGTATTTTGAACATCATTCACTTGTTCTTCAATTGCATTTTCTTCTTCATAAGCTGCCTCAGGTTCTGTAGCCAGAGATCGAACTGTTGATGATCCATCTTCGTCAATCTGAAGACTATTTCTTGATTGTTACTGATCTACATTTCAGAGATGATTTCAATTGAAGGAGGTATTTCTTCTTGCTTTTGGGTTATTATTGGTTCTTCATTAATTGCTTTCTTATCTTCTATAAAAACTACATTCCTAGCCACTATGATTTTCCTAGGATTATGAGAATCAATCAAACGATAACAGGTACAGTAACCAACACATATACACGGTACTGTTTTAGAATCAAGTTTAGAACGTTAATCTTTTAACATTGACCTGATCTTTTCAATAATCGTCCTATTTACCCTTTCTGCAATTCCATTCTGCTCAGGATTGTAAGGAACAGTGATCTGGCGAATAATACCATTTTGTATCAAACAATCTCTCATCTGATTATTTACAAATTCAGTACCGTTTTCAGAACGTAAAATCTTTATCCGTTTCCCTGTTTGAATTTCAGTAAAAATTTTTAAAATCTACAAACTTTTCATTAACATCACCTTATGACTTTAGAAAATATCCGAAAGTTTTACGAATATAAACATTGGTGAAAGTCAGTAGATTTAGAGCGCCTCCCCAAGATTTGGTGCTCATAGGTGCACGTAAGTCTGTGTGTATTAATTCAAGCAAGTCACTTGTTGTTTTTGAAATGCCTCATATTCAGCCGCTTAAGTTTGAATGATTTTTGTTATTGATTTTTTGGTGACCTTATACTTAGCCCTCCCTCCCTATTACATAAGTTACAAGCCGCCACTGGAAGTAACCAAACTACATAAGAGTCTAGTTCAGTCAGACAATAGATGTCACCTGGCCTAATAAAATAGCACTTTTAGTTTATACATCATCCTGATCAGAGTTCTGTATCTGTAACACCTCTAAAGTGGGGAGAACAGCACTTAGACCTCATTAGGCCCAGGAGCATATATAATCTGTCTCTCAACTTGTCAAAAAACCTGTTGGTTGTCGCTGAAAAATGTTAAGAGGCAACCATCTCTCCAGCTCATCAAGATTATCCACTTGTCAAAAATCTACTGATTTTCGCTGAGGAGTGTTTAGAGACAGCCAGCCTCCTAGCATATCAGTTATGGAGGTTATCAACTCATCTAAAACCTGCTGGTTTTCTCTGGGGGATGTCTAGGAATCAGGGCCGCCGAGAGCCAGACCGGGCCCCAGGATAATTCTCCAGATCGGCATCCACGACAATTTTATCAAAGAATTAAATAATAAAAGGTCTTCAACCAAAAATATTTCTCCTCTTTCTCTACTTGAAAAAAATACCGCTGCCGGGCCCCCTTTTGAACCCGGCCCCCGGGAATTAGTCCCGGCTGCCTCCCCCCCCCTCTAGTCGACCCTGCTAGGGATAGCAACATTTAATCTAATAAGAGGAACAATAACAGGGGAATTAAATTTTTAATTATCAATTATGATATACAAAAATATACTTATACTATTATTTATAGACAAAATTTTAAATCCGCATCGAAGTTTTCTAGAACTAATCAAGTTATAATCAAATCTGATATGATACTTTTTGTAATAAAAATATCTAATACTTTTAGTTAGCTTCGTTTCAGTTCCACTTAAATAAGGACAGAGGGTCAAATTCCAATTTAGATCTGAATAAACTTAAATAGAGAGTTTTCATTGTATTGATATTGGAAAAATTTAAAGTTTATCTTATTATAAATTGCAGTAAGCGATTTGAAGCTGTTAACTACATTTTCACATGATGGGCAATTGATAACTATATGAAACACCCAGATTTTTGTTCTCTGCATTTCTCTAATATTTCATTATTCATCATATAATTAAAAATAACTGGTTCATTTAGGCGCAATAATGTCATTATAGAATATTGGTAATATTAACATAAATTTGATATCGTTGACACCACTCATGCAAATTTTCAATGTCCTTTTAAACCATTATACAATTCCTCACAGTCTGTACCGATTTGTAAATTTTAAGTCATTTGCAAAAAGGTATCGATTTGAGTATTTTACAACCCATAATATAGAGTATAAACAATAGGGGACCAAGATTCGATTGTTGTGGAACAGCCGATTTAGCTAAATAATTATTTGACATATTACCATCATGCTTTATAATTGATGTTCTATTTTTGTCAGATAATCCAAAAGTATTCAATTTTTGAAGCAATATAATACCTGTAAAATAGTATTCAACTATTTTGTTGCTTCTGACTTATTGTAGACTTTATTGGTAAATATAAACAATATAAGAATACCTTTAATAGACCAAAATATTTTAAATTTGTTATTTGAAAATGTCAAAAAAATTTGCTTGGAAATTTTAAATTTATAGGACTTACCTAGTCGTAATACAGAAGTATTTAGGCTTTACAAAGGCTAGCCCCGCTCCTATTGATGTGTCTATTTAAGTTTAACATGGACATGGACAAAGAATGTACACAGTGTTAGTAAAAAACTAGTATTTATTTTAGATACAATACAAAAAATTGTTCGTAAGCAGTTTATTTACCAGCACCACTAAAATGGTAAATTACACTTCCAGTCAGATACCAATTGATGAAGAGTCCCACTTCGTATACAGGAATCCTCCAGATCGATTTCAACACCGTGTACACAAACGTGTAGACAATCCTGGATATGACGTACGTTCTAATTATCCATTGCGTAGGCTCCAATGAGGGATTGGTCAAAAGGTATAGAAAACTAATCACGATAAAGAAGGGTATGTTTTCTAGATCATTCTGATGTGCTCTGTAATGTATCATAACATCATTATTGATATATTAAAGAATAAGACTTGTTTTGCAGCAATTTCATATAGTCAGGAAGTTAGCATTTAATTTGTGTCCAAAAGTTTTAGAAAGTTTGAAAATAGTACCTATAGATAAAAAATAGGAACTGTAATTGAAGAAGAAAAACCATATTTTTATTGTACAAAAACTGGCATTCACACTGCAAACTCCTGGCTATCAGATAGTGCTGCAAAAGCAAATGTATCAAAAATAAATAAAAACATAACTATCAATGTTTGTGTAACACAATAATATGAGCGACTGTTTCCCTCTAAAATACCGCTAATACCGTAACACATTGAATTATATCCAAATAAAAACATCAGATATATAAAATTATGAGTCCTTATTAGGACTCATCGGTAAGAAATAAACATTTTCGATTGCAATATCTAGTTCTAGTGAAACTTGCAGATCCGTTCAAGTCACTTGTATACATGAATGGTGGTTGGGCGATCAAATTTAGAACAGTTTAGAAGTCGCAAAAATGTCGCCAAAGTAGCCAAGTGGTTCATTAAAAGATGTGGTTACTACATTGATTCCATAAGGTCACAAGATAAATCAAGTTTATGAAACCAAATTTAATATAATTTACCTTCTATTTCTTTCTACCAGTTCATTGGTATAAACCTTTGCTTTGAATGGGGCACCATCTTCAGGATTCCTCGGAACCTAAAAAAAAAGTATTTTAATAGTTTTGAAAAATCTAATTGTAAATAAAGATCACATTTTATTTTATATAATGTTACACAATGTTTACGTTTTATAATAGTAAAAAAATAACCTAATAACGGAAATATTATATCAATACAGTATAAAATTAGTAGCAACTAGTTTCGAGCATCTTGGGCTCGAAAAAAAAATTTTGATATGAAATAAAGTAAGGGTTGCTAATTTCACTCCCCTATAATGTATCAGGAATATTGTAAAAATACCCGTGGTTACCTAGTCCTTTGCGAATGCACGAAAATTACAGAATTTCAAGTTTCTAGCTTTACTGAAATATAAGAAAAAAAAAATAAAAACTCAATTTTAGTCACCACCTTTTAAAGGTGATATCTCGGAAAGGGATGGGCTGAGGAAATTTTGTTATAGGAAAGAACCATCTTAATTTCATACGAGCAATCACCTCCTGAATTTTGTTGCATGAATTTAGGAACATCCTGTATAAACAATTTTTGTAAAAAGACACATATTTTCTCATAATAATAAAATTAATGTAGTAACTGTTCTTAAGTTGTTCATTATTTGTTGAGTGTCACTGAAACAGTCAAACTGCTTCAGCGAAACTGACAAGTCAGAATCCTCCTTGATATTCGTTCTTTAACCAAAAAGTTGTATCAATGAATATTACTTTATTTATATTTTTCTGTGAGATACTTATTTGTGAAAGAATCGGTTTTAAAGTTCCGAAAACTGATCCGTTAAATATCCTAAAAATATGATTAATAAAGTCCCAGGAAATCTCCAAACAAATCCCAGTATTACCCCTACGAAATAATGACTATGTTAGCGAAAGCTGAATCGGAAGAGCGCTCTGCGTAGAATAGAAATAGGTGGGTTAGAATCAATCCCCTCGCGGAAAGAAGTTTTTAAATTTTGCATTAAATTTGTTTATTCTTTTAAAAACAAAGAATCGTTTATATTTTTGTAAAATATATTTACAAATTTTTGTGATTTAATTTTTCTCATTTTATAACATTTTTAGGCTGTATGTCTCTCTTTATTAAATTTATCGTTTGGTAATTAAACAGTCATTAATAATAATTAACAGTAATTAACAGTCATTAACAGTAATTAACAGTAATTAACAGTAATTAACAGTAATTAACAGTAATTAACAGTAATTAACAGTAATTAACAGTAATTAACAGTAATTAACAGTAATTAACAGTAATTAACAGTAATTAACAGTATTTAACAGCAATTAACAGTAATTAACAGTAATTAACAGTAATTAACAGTAATTAACAGTAATTAACAGTAATTAACAGTAATTAACAATAATTAACATTAATTAACAGTAATTAACAGTAATTAACAGTAATTAACCGTAATTAACCGTAATTAACAGTAATTAACAGTAATTAACAGTAATTAACAGTAATTAACAGTAATTAACAGTAATTAACAGCAATTAACAGCAATTAACAGCAATTAACAGTGATTAACAGTAATTAACAGTAATTAACAGTAATTAACAGTAATTAACAGTAATTAACAGTAATTAACAGTAATTAACAGTAATTAACAGTAATTAACAGTAATTAACAGTAATTAACAGCAATTAACAGTAATTAACGGTAATTAACAGTAATTAACAGTAATTAACAGTAATTAACAGTAATTAACAGTAATTAACAGTAATTAACAGTAATTGACAGTAATTAACAGTAATTAACAGTAATTAACAGTAATTGACAGTAATTATCAGTAATTAACAGTGGTTAATTAACAGTAATTAACAGTGATTAATTAACAGTAATAATAAATAATAATACTCTCCTTAATTCACCCCCTTACGAGTGAATTTCAACCACTGAAGTCGACTGAACGACTTGTGTAGGGGAAGGGACGGATATTATTATTATTTGCCGTGGCGCTCCGGGGCGACTTAAAGATGATTGATGGTGCCATTTGACTTACAGGTGAGGAAAACCTCACCCACCATCATACAGTAATCATACAGTAATTAACAGTAATTAACAGTAATTAACAGTAATTAACAGTAATTAATAGTAATTAACAATAATTAACAGTAATTAACAGTAATTAACAGTAATTAACAGTAATTAACAGTAATTAACAGTAATTAACAGTAATTAACAGTAATTAACAATAATTAACAGTAATTAACAGTAATAACAGTAAATACATTAATTAACAGTAATTAACGATTAACAGTAATTAACAATAATTAATGTTAATTAACAGTAATTAACAGTAATTAACATAAATTAACATAGATTAACATAGATTAACATAAATTAACAGTAATTAACAGTAATTAACAGTAATTGACAGTAATTAACAGTAATTAACAGTAATTAACAGTAATTGACAGTAATTAACAGTAATTAACAGTAATTAACAGTAATTAACAGTAATTAACAGTAATTAACAGTAATTAACAGTAATTAACAGTAATTAACAGTAATTAACAGTAATTAACAGTAATTAACAGTAATTAACAGTAATTAACAGCAATTGACAGAACTTAACAGCAATTAATAGTAATTAACAATAATAAACAGTAATTATGTAGTCAATAATAAAATAAATGATCAATTAATTATAAATCCAAATTTGAATTTAAAAGTTGATACCACGTAAAAATTATGTAAATGATATTTAGAGACCAAGAAAGCAATAACTTAGTCCGTTCAATCTCACAAAATAGGTATGTATACTTTTGCAAGACGATATAAAAAGGGGATGGCTGGCTCAGTGATTAGAGTCAGGACTTTCTGATCCCAGGGGTAGTATTCTCGAATCACGAATACCGACATTCGCATACGTGTTTTACAATGTGTCTCACTTTGTTGAACGAAAACCAAGTGAGACAAATCATAAATCTCGCATGCGAATCTATATTCGTGACTCGAGAATACTACCCCAGGGTTGAAACCTACTAGGGACGTGATTATTTAAATTAATTTAATGAATTAAAAATGTGTTCTAATGCATAGGTAGGATTCCCCACTCGATCATTCACTGATATTGGGTTCTAATTAACAATGCCATTACTAAAATGGTGCGGGAAACAATGACAGAGCCTACACCGAATAAGGCGCTGACTACAGGTGAACCGCCCCCCCCCCTCCCACGGAGAAACGTGAACGTGAAAAAAAAAATACGTTTAATATGTTTAAAATAAATCGATATTTTTCCCGTAATTAACACCACGAATACATTCAGAGAGAGGTGAGGACCATTTTTAGCCCGCATCATGACAATTTGCTGGTATTCAGCATGCTACTAAATTTGTTTTCTTAGGTCTGCAATCATTTGCTCATTGTCGACACATAAGGGACAACAAACGTACAAACTACAGGAAGAACTTTTTTTTAGCTCCACAACTCCTACTTATTACTTTTACCCGGTAAAAGTTTGCAGTTTGCATATAGCATTTTTGCAAACTGAAAATGCTGACTCAGGAATTGTAACAATCTTAAACTCAGGGGGTGTGGATATGGAGGGAGACTAGGTCCCCTGAGACCCACCACGAATCACTGTATAGCAGGGGCAGAAGTTGGAAAAGCCTTCTGGTAGGTAGAGGGGATAAACGTCAAATCACTTCGGACGACTTCGAGAATTTCGCAGTTATGTTTACCTGCCAGTGTCGTTTTATAAAATAAGTAATTTTAAATTGTTACCGGCAGAACCGGACAATCGCATGTATTTATGGACTCTAAATAATTAATAAACATAATATCCAAATCAAAACTGTACAAAATTTCAACAGCTATTCACAATTTGTTAAATTATTTACTCGAAATTGTTATTAACATCCATAAAATAATTTTGTACGCCAATGTATCGCGTCCACTTCGGTTAGATCCGCCGCAAACCTGTCAATTTATGTGTACGAAGTGGGAGAACTGGCAAAAGCCTTTCCAACCTTTGCCCCTGCTATACATATGGTCATCCTAAATGAAAAACTCAATTTCGCATGCGCTCCCCCCTCCCTGGAGTTGCCCTTGATTCAGCAAAATTTAGAGAATGTTTTAATATTCTTTCCACTAATTATGCAACTACATTTGATTATGGGTACTTTTGTTTAGTTAGTTCTTTCAAACAAAAAACTAATACGTATATCTTTAACACATTACAACAGTAAAATAAAATTTTAAAATTTTTTAAGAAGTAAGAAAAACACTTTAAATCAATATCATCACAAATAATACCTGTTTATTTCGATAAATAAAATATATAAATTTAGTGTTGAATATGAGGAAGAATTTTAATTAATTTGTATTCCACTATAATTTTCAATACCTGTTTCCCATTCTAATGTATTTGGATTATTGTATTATTTAGTTATGTCCGAATTTTTATATTATGCATGTTTAACTATTATTTGTTGTTACCTACAACTTTTATAATGTTGCATTGCAGGACCGAGAATGGCCTGATAGGCCGAAACTAGTCGCGACAACTACTTATCGAAGTTTTTACTATTTATCTGTGGTATTTGCTTAGAGTGTTTATTTTTACTTTATAATAGCCACCCACATTTGAGTTCATTCAATACTGTTTAAACTTCCTGTATGGTGTATGCTGTATGCTCAAAATACGAAGATTTCTTTTTACTCACCCTGTAATAAACTCGACTTAATCCAACATGAACTATCATCACAAAACATTTAAAAACCAAAACGCCCACATAAAAACAGTAAAATTCCAACAGTTCCCGATTTATAGACAAAAATATCTGTTCAGTCATATTTCTCTTAGCTAAAAGAATAAGTTTTACCGAATAAGTCGTAGATATTACTGAAAAAGACTGACAAGGAAATTTACTTTCTGGTCGCAGGAAACAAGTTTACCAAACATGTTTTACTAATGCCATATAAAAATGCCGAATATGAGTATGCAAAGTAGGGTCGATTCACTGGTTATCCGCTCAGCACTGAATCTCTGCCTTTTTATCGTATAAGGCCAAATAAGAA